TACCAAGTTTGTACGAGTAAAACAAGTGCATGTGTTTGAGTGTTTTCATAGTTGCAACGCTCTTGAAGGGCACTACCGCTGCCAATGACAATGAACCGAGAAGTGTGTCTTATTGTTTCTTGCAGATTTTCGGCAGCTGTATTTATCACTTCTATTTTGATATACATATTTAACTTTTTATAATTGAATTTTGGTTTCGCCTTCAATACTTTGCTGCACCGCATACGCACAGCAACAAAAGCATCGGGCATATTGGCTGCCTTCATAACTGACCCAATTTCGAGCGAGTTGAGTGAAGAGGTTCATTGTGAGCATGAAAAATTTATTGAAAACAGAACAAAACAATAACAACAACATAGTTTGTAATTGAAGTGACGCAACAATAAATTCAAGAAGTTGTTTCATAATTTTATTTTTCAATTCGTCACTTTTCTACACAAAGATTTAGGTACTTGCCGTGAAGGCCTGAGTTTATGAGATATGGTGTGGTCTAAAAATGTCATTGCGGCGTGCTACAAGTGTTTTTTTAAATACAATTTAAGCGACTTTTTTGGATTTGTTTGGCTATTATTATTTTTTTTTTCTTTAATTGTAATTGTTGATGCTGCCGCTGAAAGCTTCAAGATTTCGATCATTCAGAAGGCGCAGACAAAGCATGTTTTTGGTGTTGCCACTTCATTCAGAGGTGGCGGCGGCAGTCATAACAATCGCTTTAGGCTGAGCATAAACTGCTGCTGCACAAAAACGAGCAATATTACGTGAAATTTCACTATAGATAGCATAACTGGTCTCACAGACTATTTACAATGATGAAGACTTGCTCGCTCATCAACACGTGTTGAGCTCAGAATACTTGAACTGCATTTCAATTTGCTGCTGCCTTCAATGCACTTACTCGCATTTACGTACATACATACGAATGTATATCTGTCATATCTGCATTTATAAGCGCTTACTCATATGTGACCCAATAAACATGATGTAGCCCTTCAGCGTACGTAATTATATGCGCATGCGCAACTACTTGCAGCAAAGAAAACCTCAATTGCGCTCGCCTTCTTTAAGTGCACTTTCCTTATATATTTATGCAATTAACCAGTTTTTGGCAAGCTTTTTCGATTTGTTGAACAAATGCTGCCACCGGTTGCAAGTTGTTTACTACCACATAAGTACATGCATACACATGTACGTACTTACTCCGGTTTTTTTTTTTTTTTGGAAAACAAGTTTTTTAATTTTTGTTTTAAATACTTTCGCACACTTTGTAATTTCCAAATCAAGTCGATGCATTTGAAGCAATCTATATAGTAAATGAAAGTAAAACTAGGTCAGTGTTTCACTGTCACTGCCAAACCAAAACTCATGCAATTGACAATGATTTTATAAGATTCACGTAAAGTGCACACCAGCGTTGCCTTTTTGTGGTTAATTCCCCAAATTAGGGGAAATTTTAATTTTTGTGTGTAATGTTTGCGCAACGATATGTTGAGGGGAAATTTGGCGAATTTGTTTTTATCATTTTCGGTGTAGTTAAGAAACCTCTAAAACCATTTTAGTTTATCATTAGTTTACATAGAAAAACTGTTAAACTCAAGATTTTACGTCGGTTAGCCTGTCTTGTGAATCATCTAATTACATATTTTAAAATATAATAAAAAGCTTTGTGAAGGAACCTATTATTTTGCTTGCGGGTAGTTTGCGTGGAATTTATGAAAACGTGTATGGTAATTTGTGGGTAATTTAGATTTCTTTCTGGGTAATTAAACGAATTGAGAACGGCAACGCTGGTCCACACATTTTCTGCAAGCGTACTAA